CCCAGCCGCCCCAGAACCGTATGTTGAGGAGTACCCACCTTACCCTCCACCTCCATATCCCAGCATGACAGACCAGGTGGGACCAGGCGAGGACAGCGTCAATATGAAGGCTCCAGAGGTCACAGGACAGGTAATGCTACCACCGGTAGGTACTACAACATTCCCGAAATCTAAAACCATATCTGTAGATGGACCGAAGGGACATTCACGCTGACATCAAATTGTAGTGACCCAAAGTCATTTGCTTTCAGAAAAAGTTGCCAAAAACAGGATTCCAGTTGACCTTCTAGTAACCAGCCTTATAGCAACTTTGCAATCTCTAGCATTTTTTGCTGTCTTTTTAATCAAACACATTTGATTCAACTCATCAATTTGATAGTAGAGACCCCGAGACACCTGCAATGGGTGAGTCAGATAAGATAGACATCTAAAATGTGCACTGATGGGAAGAGTATCCCAGCAGCAGGAGTCCATGAGCAGTCCATTATAGTCAAACTCTATGCACAAAGGAGCCTGACAATATTACGCAGGGAGTCATGGACGGTGTCCGAAATGGTGTACATGATGTGGACAATGGTACATAGAGGGTGCATCATGGCCACAAAAGCGGATGCCTGTTGATTCATAAAATGACAATTAGGGCACCCTACGGTCTTTCGGGCTTGAAGTCCATGAGACCATAAGGTGTCCCATTTGTCATTTTATGAATCAGCAAGCTATGTGGTATTACGTATCTGAAGTTTAGACTCAGAAGAAGACTCCAAGGGATGAGGGGGGCATTTGAGACAGGTTCCTTGTCTTTATAGAAAACTATATAGCCATTTAGCCTACATAAGTATGGCCACAGAGAGAGAAGAGGGAGAGACAGAGAAAGAGGGTGAAGACAAGTCAGGTCAGTAGAGATTCCGATCAAACCATCCATTCTGGGCTGTTGCTTAGCAACTAGCCACACTAAGATTCTGAGCACTCTGCACAGATCTCATTAAACATTTAAATGGAGCAGAAGTGGCAACCAGTGACCCTCAGTGGGCTTTTAATATGAGGAATGAAAGAGTGGTTCATGGCAGGCTAACACCTAATATCAGTACTTCATATCCAAGAACTTTACCACAAGATACACATCGATTATGTACAGAATTTCCTTCTAGCATATAACTAAATATCTATTCATCCATCCTGTTTTTCACAGGGCAAAAGAACAAACCTGCGTAAGACAGACTCGGAGCGCATCAACCACGGGATGCGTGTGCACTTTAACCCTCTGGCCCTTCTGTTAGACTCCTCTTTAGAGGGCGAGTACGACCTTGTCCAGAGGATCATATATGAGGTGAGAAATAGGCCAAGATCAGTTACATACTTGGTCCACTAGTGAGTAATATAACAACTGGACATATAGCTAGTTGGGATTTCAAGTATATGTCTGTACGTCATATACAGGTGGAAGACCCCAGTTTACCCAATGATGAGGGCATTACTGCTCTGCACAATGCTGTGTGTGCTGGACACACGGAAATCGTAAAGTTCCTGGTGCAGTTTGGAGTAAACGCGAATGCCGCAGACAGCGATGGATGGTGAGCGAAAAACATTTATGTAAACCCAGTAAAATTCTGTCCATAATTTAATACAATGAAATAAAATGTCTTTCTCTCTCTTAGGACTCCCCTGCACTGCGCTGCTTCCTGTAATAACGTGCAAGTATGTAAGTTCCTGGTGGAATCGGGAGCTGCCGTATATGCCACAACCTACAGCGATATGCAGACGGCGGCTGACAAGTGCGAGGAGATGGAAGAAGGTTACGCCCAATGCTCGCAGTTTCTCTATGGTAAGAGACCAGTCCTCCCATTATAGGCGCTTTCGCACCGCGTAGTTCTAGGAACTAGCCAGCAGGCCTATTTTTCTGGTTGCATTCGCACCAGCAGCTGGAACTCTGAAGTGGCCGACACGACGTCTTTATCCGCGGCATTTACAAACATCAATAACCGGTGAATGGAGGACGCTGTGATCGTAGCTGTTTTTAATGTGTGTCACGGGTTTCGTGATAACGGAGATGGAATACACAACTTACGAGATTTAGGCCACGTCCACACGAAGCCAGAGCTTTCCCTATCCGATCTTTTTTTTCCTTATCTCAAGAAATATCTGTGTACACACGAAACCATGAAACCGACACAAAACGATGCAGTATACATGCCAGACCAGTATGTGGAGCTGTAATTCTGCCACAGAGATACACTAAAAATGGAGAAGAAGACTTGGAGCATGAGCATAAACCTTGGGCGCGGTATACAAACGAACATGGAACACTACATTTATTAATCTGTGTTAATGTTAATTAATAAAAAGACAATCGTTCAGTGTTTGCTCATGTTGTTGTTGCCGTTACGTGACGTAGCGGTGTCTGACTAGGGGCGAGACGTGGGCTGATGACGTCATCGTTTCACGAAATATACGGATTGGCTGTATATTTCCACACGAAAATGCAAGGGTGTCGTTTTCAGATTTATCCGCTCTGGGACAAGGTTTCAAAAAATAGCGGTTTCACTCTCCCAAAACGTCGGATCCGTCTGGACGAAACGCCAATACGATACAAAATCTTTACATATACAGCTAAACGTGTCTCCGTGTGGACGGGGTAGAGCACAAAAATCTGACTAAATCTCCTATGACAACTTGCAGTGTTACATATCGATGCTGAGAAAAGAACACAGTGCTGCAGACAACAGGTAAATGCATAATCGCTGCTTTGCATGTTCGTGGAGAACACTTTTTTTACATGGCTTTCAAAGATGCTGGATAGCCAGTGTTTCGTATGCGTTTGGACAATCAGCGCACACTTACGTCACTGTTAGTTCCCATAGAACTGTTTTAGACCCTACTTTGAAGTAGGAGCTAAATTAGTTCCTATAAACAGAGTTCCTAGAACCAAGTACGTAGTTCCTGCAGTGCGAACACGCCAAAAAGCGGGAACTTGCACCAATAGTTCTGAATAGGTTCCTCTGGTGCGAAAGCCCCGTATGAAACTTTACGAAAGAGGACTTCTTGTAGCTCAACCGGTAACTTGTCGCAATAAAATTATATCGTTGAGATGTTTTTTCACAGGTGTGCAGGAGAAGATGGGCATCATGAACAGGGGCGTTGTTTATGCCCTGTGGGACTATGACGCTGAGAGCCCGGATGAATTGTCCTTTGAGGAAGGAGACTGTCTGACCGTTCTACGAAGAGAAGACAGTGAAGAAACAGAGTGGTGGTGGGCAAGATGTGCCGACAATGAGGGCTACATACCTCGCAACCACCTCGGGGTGAGGAAATGCATTTTGGGGAAATTACAGACTTTTTTTTTTTTTTTTCCTACAGATTGCTCATATTTGTTTTTCTTCTGTAGCTATACCCCAGAATCAAGCCCAGACAGAGGAGCCTTGCGTAAACTCTCCAAATCAGCGCTGATGTGCCTGGAGTTTTGTCTACCATTTCAACAGTCACTTAATTCTGCAGAGCAAAAGGACGTTTTGAAGATGAACGCATCACATTTAAATGGTGAAAAAAATAAGAATAGTTTCATGTTGGTATGTTATACATGTTTTTTAAGGTTAAAAGCTTTGGTAGAAGAGGTAGACTTGGATGCACATTTCAGAAGCAGGTTTAAGCATGTATAGTTAAGTGAAAGAGGAAAGTATTATATCTCATATGAAGGATGTCAGATTTAGTGATGTAATTTTTCATCCTTTTGAACAAAGTTTCTGTATTCACAAATGCTGATTTGTTTCGCAAAGTGCAAAACAAAAAACCATTCATCTTTTGAAGGAAAATAAGAGTTTTATATTATATTTTTTTCTTTTATTCATAATGCCATGTTACGTAAACCTATTCTTATGGTGCTTGCTGCTACACTACAACAGTGTGTTCTGTGAACAATTAACAATTTATTGCGCAAAGACAGCTTTCATGTATCATAATAAAACTTGTCAAAACTCTTGACTCACTGTTTTTGTCCTTTTCCCTATTTGGTTTCTGGTTCAAAAAAACATTTCTGGTAATACATTTACTATGGAAGTCTATGCGACAAGGCACTGGAACAAGTTTAAACATTAAAATACACTGTTTCAAAAATATAGACACGAGACCAAACCAGGTAATCTATGCACAATATGTACAAATATTATGTACCATAAAATTACAAGCTTCACATTTCTGCAGATACACTTGCCCCATAGACTTACAAGTGCACTGTAAACCCATTTTCTGTTCTTTTTTTAATTGTCCCAAATGTGGGACAGCTTAAAATAATCATATATATAGTCTGCTGAAAAGAGCTTTACTTGTTTTTAACTTGTAATTTCCATGACAAACTATTGTATTTCCTGTCCTTAAATAATTACAAACAACAAAGGGTTTCCACAATAAAACATTTGATTCTTTATTTCATCGGAACTAATAGCAAAGCAATAGCTAACTAGTCTGGTTTCTAGGTTTTTGAAGACTTTTTGCAGAAGTACATGAAATGAAGCCCACCAGCTGCACATCAGACAATATTAATTATTACTTGTGTAAGCACAACATGCACTGTTGACCAACAGCGGAAGTTATGAAAGCAATTGGGCCTCATTTATAAAACAAAAGCAGAACGAATTTCTTCGTAAAAATGTCTGTAAAATCAAGGTTTTACAAATTATTTACACTTGTAAATGCGTTCTGCTCAAGCTTCATTACTGACGCTCAATGTTTAATACTGTTAAATGAAATGAGCTTTTATACATTAGCCGTCACATTAGTTTAGTAACTTCAAATGGTAGTTATATCTATGATCAGTACATTCAATATTTTTGCAATTGCACATTATCTCGAAATGGAGTGAACGAGACACACAACAACACAATGGTTATCTGGGTGACTGTGCATGATCAAGACAAATGCCCATCACACAAAGCTGCCATAAGTTTAACCCAGTTAACCCTGTAAGCCATCGGAAATGGCCTAAACCTTATATTTGCTTACAAACAATTGTGCAATATGTGTCATCTGTAAATACATTTAAAATTAGGCACAATGTAATCAAGCTAGTGAAAAAAAAATCAATCATGCCTGACTGTTCCTACAAACCTAGAGCTCCAAAAATTCCCTTTCGGTTACCTCTTCTGTCCTGAAGATAGGGGGCGATATTCAATCACACCAACAAAAGCACCGAATGGTACAAGTGAACAAAAACAAGACAGGTCATTTATTCATGAACCTTAAACAAAATTAATGTGTAAATCTTCTGCAAAACAATTTGTGGATTGTCCGATTCATTTAAATTAAAGTCTTGCATTTTATGTTTCATTCAACATTAACATGTTACGCCCCGTTTTTCGTTCACTAAAAATTTGTGGAAAGACATTTTCAACTTTTGAAATTTCAATTTCGTTCAATCATAATGGAACAACTGTAAAACTACAACGTATTAAAGGGAATATACTTTTGTCCATCACAATCTTGTTTCCATTTGTGACTACAGCCAGCCTCGCATTACTCGACGATTTCGGCTACAGTTCTTCCATTCAAGACAATTTCGCTTAATGTATCATGTTCACATATTCTGACTAATAGCCTTTGTGACAAATCATAGATACAACGTATATCATACAAACTGACAGGCAACAATCGTAAAGGACTGTAGAAATCATACAGTGGTTAGCTCAGCTTGGGTTATTATGTGTAAACTGGGGTGTGCACTGCAGACAGTGCGGTGGACGTAAATTTCGTCACCAGCATAGTATGTGCGTAGTCTGATTTTTCTAACCGTGCATATGCTGTACACTCAACTCGCATATGCGGCTTTAATTTTTCTTACACTAACTGGCCATCAAATGGAGTATACTTTGAAAAGCTATGTATTCGGCTATACGCAAACACTAAACTCTGCAGGAAAGTGGATCTCGAGGTCCAGAGTTGAGGACCTCTGGTCTACAGGAACAAGGTTGAAGACCTATGTCTCAAGGTGTACACTTTGTGAAAAAAAAGAAAAAAAAACCTAAAGTGTTGTCAGATCTCCTGGGGTAATGTCATGTATTTAATATCACTGAGGACCTGAAGACGTTAGTACAGCTGAAATAATGAATTTTCCGATGCTATGATTATGTTCGCATATCTATAATGCAGTCTGCAGGCAGGAATTCCTGCAGAAATCTGCTCCAGATACCCAACTTAGCGACTCCCAAATGCTTCACTCAAGGTCAGACAGCTTTAACTTAAGATGTGAAACACGCACGTGTGCAAAAATAGGAGAGGTTTCCAAGCTCCATTACACCTAGCAGACATATACTCTAATCAACCCTCCAAATGTCACAGGAACCAAGAGCATTTACACACAGGCAAATCTGCAATTAATATAGGCAAATCTACAGAGTGGAAATGAAAGGTGCACGATTGAACTAGGGGATGCAAACTCAAGGCAAGGACAGGAAACGATTGCAGATGCAGTCAAATGTCCTCTTTTGATTAATGGTGTTACTCCCGATGTGTCTAACTGTGGTTCTGGTTGCGGTTCTGATCAGGCACGTGGTTCTGGGTTGAGGATAGGAGGTGCGTCACGTGTCCGATGCCTTTGGTCACCCCCTCTCTGAAGAGCAGCTTGGCTCCCACGCGCAAGTACTCAGGATGCTTTAAGAATCTGAAACACACTACGGCTCTCTCACCTGTCCGCAGCTCCTCCTAGAGGACAAACACACACATGTTTCTGTGATGATACACTTTTCAAAATAAAGGTTCCAAAATTGAATTATTTTTGTTTCCCAAATAACCTTTCATGGAACATTTAGTTAAAAAACCATTTGGGTTAGTTCACCCAAAAATGAAAATTCTGTCATTAATTACCCACCCTCATGTTGTTCCAAACCCGTAAGACGTTTGTTCATCTTCGGACCACAATTTAAGGTATTTTTGATGAAATCTGAGAGCTTTCTGACCCTGCATAGACAGCAATGCAACCGAAACGTTCCCAGGCCCAGAAAGGTATTAAGGACATTGTTAAAATAGTTTAAAAAGTCCATGTGACATCAGTGGTTCAATCGTACTTTTCCGAAGCTACGAGAATACTTTTTGTGCACAAAGAAAAGATAACGACTTCATTCAACAATTCTTCTCTTCCGCATCACCGTACGCCACCATTCACGAGAGTACTACAATGCATGCGTGTGCATTCCTCTGCTTGTAAACAAGGTGCAGCGCATGCGTCATGATACTCATATGAATGGCGGCAGACAGTGACATGGAAGAGAAGAATTTTGAATAAAGTCATTTTTGTTTTCTTTGCGCACAAAAAGTATTCTTGTAGCTTTGTAAAGTTAAGGTTTAACCACTGATGTTACATGGACTATTTTAACAATGTCCTTACTACCTTTCTGGGCCTTGATCGTGGTTCTGTTGCGGTCTATGGAGGGTCAGAAAACTTCTAAAGTTGAATGAAGGTCTTGCCGGGTTGGAACGACATGAGGGTGAGTAATTAATGACAGAATTTTCATTATTGGGTGAACTATCCCTTTAAAGTTAAAGAACTTTTTGATAATATGAAGAAACTTTTTCCACTATAAAGAACCTTTTGTGCAATGGAAAGATTCCATGGATATTTAAGGTTCTTCATGGAACCAAAGATGACAATAAAGAACTTTATTTTTAGGGGTAACACTTCTCAGAACATTGTGTTCTACAGAAGAAAGTACGTCAAGTTTGTTTATAAAGACTTGATTCCTATATGTCAGGAAGTTTAAAAAACCTACACCTTTCCAAGGAGACACTCCACCGTGGCGGTCTGCCTTACATTCCCCACGTGCACTGTGACTTGGAAACCACGGCGGAAAGTCTTGGCGTGGAACAGCAGGACTATGGCGGCCTCAAACTGCCAGCAAATTGTAGGGTTCATTTTGGGACTCACCATGACCATGCCCTAAAAACACAAACACTCAAGATCAAAGACATCACAAAGATATATCTACATAAGGACTTTATTTAGTCTTTTCTCCTCTTGGTCTCGTTTTGAGATCAGACCTTTCGTAGTAATGAGCGATCAAAGTTCCCAAGTGCAAGTGTGGCGGCCTGTCCGGCTCTTAGCACACGGCAGCCGGAGCGATTCCTGTGGATACTGCACACCTTCAACCTTAGGAACCGCCCATCATCGGTGGGACCCACAACCAGCCGGTCTCCTTCACGACACACACCACTGTGTGTGAATAGAAAGTCAATTATGAACTAGAAAAGGAAAGTTCATCAAGACAAACTGAACATTGATTGGCTTGAAAAAGCCTTGAAGTGTGAAGGTTATATAGGCCTCAAGGATTGGTCACATTAACCATCATTTAACAGATTTTTGCTGGTAAAATCAGGTCATTTCAAACTGGAAACTGGGAGATCAGGGATTCCATAAGAGGGTGAAAGACTTCCACATGAAGATTTCGCAAGGCATTGAAATGTGTGTGGACATCAGATTCTACAATGCTAAAACATTGCTCTGAGTTGCTACGGTTTGATAGGTTGTTCTGAGTGGTTGCTAGGGCATTGATAAGCAGTCACTAGGGTGTTTTAGGTGGTTGTGAGAACGTTATAAGACAGTTGGAAGAGTGAGAGGATTCTAAAGTGTTGTTAGGGTGTTGCCTAGGTGTTTTGAGCGTTTCAGAGACAGTTGGAAGAGTGAATGGTTTCTAAGGCGTTACTAGTGCGTTACCTAGGTGTTCCGAGCGTTTGAGAGACAGTTGGAAGAGTGGGTGGTTTCTAAGGCGTTGCCCAGGTGTTCAGAGCGTTTGAGAGACAGTTGGAAGAGTGGGTGGTTTCTAAGGAGTTGCTAGGGCGTTGCCTAGGTGTTTCGAGCATTGGAGAGACAGTTAGAAGAGTGGGTGGTTTCTAAGGAGTTGCTAGGGCATTGCCCAGGTGTTCTGAGCATTTGAGAGGTATTTGGAACAGTGGGTGGTTTCTAAGGCGTTGCTAGGGCTTTGCCTAGGTGCTCAGAGCGTTTGCGAGACAGTTGGAAGAGTGGGTGGTTTCTAAGGAGTTGCTAGGGCGTTGCCTAGGTGTTTTGAGCGTTTGAGAGACAGTTGGAAGGGTGGGTGGTTTCTAAGGCATTGCTAGGGCGTTGCCCAGGTGTTCTGAGCATTTGAGAGACAATTGGAAGAGTGGTTTCTAAGGTGTTGCTAGGGCGTTGCCCAGGTGTTCTGAGCATTTGAGAGACAATTGGAAGAGTGAGTGGTTTCTAAGGTGTTGCTAGGGCATTGCCCAGGTGTTCCGAACGTTTGAGAGTGCATTGCTATGGGGTTTGCTAAGAAGGTTTACAAAGCTAAAGTGTTCCGAGTAGTTGCAAGTATGTTACTTTGTTGTTGCTAGAGTGATCTAGGTGGTTGCTAAGATGTTGCTAGGATGCTAAGGAATTACTAAGGTGTTCTGAATGGTTGCTAGGGTATTTATTTGTGCCTTATAAAAAATTAAACATGGTTTTATTTATTTTTATTATTATGAAAGTGTAATGACCATGTTTTTTGGTGTATTGATTACCATTTGTATAACCACAGTTTTACTACAAATACCATCGTTAAACTATGTTTAGTGTAACAAAACCATAGTTAATTTTTGGTTACCATGGTATAACTATAGTAACCATGTTTTTTCTTTTTTCTTGTAGTATATATATATATATATATATACTTACTACAAGCAAAAAGAGTGGTTGCTAGTGCATTGCTAGGTGGACGATAGGCAGTTATTAGACAGATGAACAGACAAGATTGACATAACGGATGTGAACTGACCTGTACAGTGTTCCACCAACTACTGTTCCTACATCAGGAACACTGTAAATCTCATCCACCTTTAAGAACACATCAATTTGACATCAAATATCTTGGAATATCTTAGAATTAAGACAAGATATGTACGCGTTGGTAAGAGTGTGTTTGTACCTGGAACTCCGTGAGCTGCTGCATGAGCTCCTCTTGCTCCTTACTGTTGCTCAGAGGAGGAAGAATGTTGAAAAATACCTTCAGAAGGTTCAGATTCTCCCCAGACACACTGGAGAGGGTGAAGATGGGCGTCACACTGTAGGGAGAGCGATGCATCATTACACACACGCATACTGTACAAACTAGTCTTGAACAGCTATCAGCGGTAAGGTACTTTGTAGGGTATTTTTAGAGCAAGTTACATATTTAAGTCTTAAAGGTACAGTACCAAAAACAGGCTGTTTAACTGTGAGGCTCAAAAATACTTCAGGTGGAAAAAAATGCAGTAAAGTGTATAATAACCCCTCTATTCTCATACACACATGTACCTGGAGGATTGTGCAAACTGCTGTGCAGCCGTGACGGCATCATCAGGGTTGGACACCACCATTGGGACCTTATTGCAGCCGGGCTGTTTGAGCACTCGCTCCAAGTGACGGACCGTTTTCTCCACTGTGCTTTTACCACAGAGGTCCACCTTACTCACCACAATGAATATGGGCACCTTCAGTGCCATCGCCAGACCCAGATGCTCTCTAGTTGTGCCAGCTGGGAGAATTTTACAATGTGGGAATAACGTATAATATGTTATGACACAAAATTTGTTAAAAGTAGGGTTGGGTGATCTGGGTGGTTTTGATTAATGATTTATAATTTGATTTAAAAAATAATATAGAAATATGCACTACCGTTTAAAAGTTTGGGGCTCAATAAGATTATATGGTTTTTGAAAAAATTTAATACTTGTATTCAGCAAGGATGCATTAAATTTAGAGATGCACCGATCGATCGGCCAGGGATCGGAATCGGCCGATTTTCCTCATGATCGGCCCGGATCGGTGATCGGTCGGTCAGTCTCACTTCTTCCCGATTATCCGTTTTGTTACCAGCGGCACAGGCAATAACGTCAGCCACGCATTCTTGTGCTGTTGTTTGCAATTTTTTTTATTTGTTCTTATTTTATTACTGACTTTTTACTTGTGTTTTTTTATGAAAATAAAACTTTGCGTTGAAGAAAAGTAGATTTTTGTTTGTATATGCTGTCAATTATAGTTCTTAGAAAGAAAATTGGAATCGGCAAAAATCGGTATCGGCAGATCACACTAACGAAAAAATCGGAAATCGGAATCGGCCAAGAATATTGCAATCGGTGCATCTCTAATTAAATTGATGAACAGTCACAGTAAAGACATTTATAATATTTCAAAAGATTTCGATTTCAAACAAATGCAGTTCTTTTGAACTTTCTATCCTAAATAATTCTGAAAAATGTGTCATGATTTCCTCAAAAATATCAAGCAGCACAACTGTTTTCAACATTGATAATAATGAGAAATGTTTCTTTTCACCAAATCAGCATATTGGAATGATTTCTGAAGGATCATGTGACACTGGAGTAAAAATTCTGGTTGAAAATTCAGATTTGCATCACAGGAATAAACTACATTTGGAAATATATTCAAATAGAAAACTGTTTTTTTTTTTTTTTTTATTGTAATATTTCACAATATTACAGTTTTTACTGTATTTCTAAACAAACAAATACAGCCTTGGTGAGCATAAGAGACTTCTTTAAAAAATATTTTAACAATTTTACAGACTCCAAACCTTTGAACAGTGGTGTAAATATTTTAAATAGTGTAAAATACTGAATTTATTGTAAATATTTAACATATCGGCCAGCTTTAGTTCCAAGTTTTTATGGCTTGCTCATTACTCTTAAATCACTTTTACAACTTATAGAGCAATATAAATATATATGCATAAATACAAACCAATGCCAGTATTGGCTCCCACCACCAGCATGGCAAAGTCTGGGCAGTAGCTTGTCAGGCCAAATATAGTGGTCTTCAAGTACTTATAATGACCAGCCAGGTCAATAAAAGTGATCATCTTAGAAGAGCTCTCACAGATCTCCTCTGCTGTACGGGAGTCACTGTAGTTTACAACCTAAAACAATGAAAAAGACCAGTATTTCTCAAAGCAACATGCTTATATGCTAGTAAGCAGGAGGTTGTTGGTTTAAATTCCTGAATATTTGTCTCACCTCTCCTTTGCTGTTAAATCCCAGGATCTCAAAACTGATGCTGGACGTCCGTCCGGTTTGAATCTCATGCAGGTGTCTGAAGAGGTTGAGCCTGGCCCTGCCCCGTCCGTTATCCAGCTCGCCCTGAGTCAGCACCCCCAGCAGAGTTGACTTCCCTGAGTCCACGTTACCCAGAACAGCCACACGGAGATCCAGGAACTACACACACAAACACAGAAATCACAGTGACAGTACTTAATACATTATTAGTTTAGTGGGTCAATGACAAATAAGGATGGCTGTGATGATAAAAAAGAAAATCTTTTAAAAATCGATTTTGAAAAATTGCAATTGTATTACTTTACAAATGGCTGTATAACAACCATGAATAAGTAACAAATATTATATTTAGCCTAAAAAAAGGGCAAAATTATTGGATATATTTTAAGAAATTTAGAGAGTCTACTGTGGTCAATGTTGTGATGATTTCATTTTTTATGACTTTCTTCTCAACAGGACAACTAAACAGCTTCCTGTGAGTTATTTATACCCACTGGTTTTTAACTGGTGGGAAAAAGTTGTTATAAATATAATGCCAAAATTATGTATTTATTTGAATCAATTATTTGACAAATATTTTATATTTTAATAATCATGTACTATTTTATTTTTAAAAATAATAATAATAAAAGATAATTTTATTCCAAAAATCAAGTTATTTTTTAAGAATATAAGCCTTTTAATGAGAACTTTTCCAAAAAATGTCATTCTGAAATGTTCAAAAGTAGGCAAACTCCATAATTATTTTAAAACTTTTTTTTTGTATTTTTAAAATGTTTTAATTTTCTATTTTGTATGTTTTAAGAAATAGTAATAAAATATATTTTTATTCCAATGATTCCTAGTTTATTCTAAGTTTTTTTTACAAGTTTTTTTTAATCCTTTTTACAAGACCTTTTTCGTAAATACCAAAAAATAATAATAAAAAATAAAATAAAAAAGGCAAATTATATAATCATTTAAAAACTTTTTGTATGTTTTATATTTAATATTTTAAAAAGTTTAGTTTAGTATTTTTAAAATAAATAATAATAATATATATTTTATTCCAGTAATAGTTGTTCGCAAGAATATAAGCTTTTTTAACAAAGAAATAAATAAACAAATAATTCAAAAAATTTAAAACATCTTCATCAAAAAGTTTTCTAAACAGATCCTATAACAAAATGTGCCATGACTGATACAATAACTAAAACCACAACAACCACAATTCAACAATAGAAATTAAATGGAAACTGACTGAAGCATCACAAGCTCACCTGCTGGTCATCTGGAACTTTCCGCACAAGAACTTCAGCGATTTTCCGTCGCGCTCTATCGCAGTCCACTTCCCTCTCTCTCAGGAGCGTGATATCGGCTCCAACCCTGCACAGAGTCACAGAGTCTTACCAAGACAACACAACACGCCTGTAAGCCACTTCTTACACACTGACATTAAAGAATAAACTAACTGCACAATGAATTGAATACATACTTCTCAGCCATTCTGCGAAGAGTCTTAAGCGAGGCTTTCATATCTTCTTCTGTGAGTCCAACCAGCAGACCGTTATCCTCCACCCCAATCTGATACACGGCCTCCCCGCGGCCCTCCTGCAGTCGCCATTTCAACTGCGTGGCCAAATGTTCGAACCGATACTGCGTGGGGTTTACCAGCTTCAGCTGAGTGAAGAAAGAGGATGAATATGCCATTAGATACATAAAAATGTCAGTAAAAAAATGTTGAACTTCAATTTTCACAGGTGTTTGCATACCTTGTATTCAATGTTTCCCTCTTCAGCCTACAAAATGAAGATATGTGGGCAAATAACAATCAATTAAATAAAAATCTTAAATTAAATTAAATAAATAATCAACCTTGCAAAAATCAGTCCTTGCACATAATTCTTTTACTGGACAAAACACTACCTCGAAAAGAACTAGAAAATGAATAATAACCACGTAAAATGTTATTTATTTGGCATTATGTTACTAACTTATTTTTGCTTTTTTATTAACACATTTGTAGTTACTTTTATTTTATGTTTTTTTAACAACTATTATCTACCATAAAACATGAACAGTGGGTATTTTTAAAATCTGTTTTCGCCTAAAAAAAAAGTGCGCATTCTGGTCTTGGCCTTCTCTGTAACGTAACTAAAATTGTATAATTAGTAGTAATACAAGTACTGCAGTAAATTAGTATTCGACACCTGTCATCAAAAATAAAACGAAATGAGGAAAGACATAGGCCTACTGTTTACATTGTTACGTAGTAATAATTTCTTATGATTTTTACAGTAGGTAACGATAACTGTACGGTATTTTGGCGGCGGTTACCAATTTTGTGTATCTAAAATTTCGCCAGCAGCTTTGTAACACATAGTTGCGGTGTTATTAATATTCTAATTAACGATATTAAGATATAATATGCAGAACAGGGACACGGTTCCACACAAAATTCGGTTGCTGTCATTATGTTTATTTATAAAGGCTACAGTACAGTGGGAATAAACTCCGCTGGCTAATGGTTAGCATCCGCCAATATCTGTATTTAGTTACCTCCGGTGGTAGAAACGGCGGAGGCTCGTTGGCCTTCTTGCCCCTCCGTCGCTTGCCTCTCCTGCCTCTCCTCGAGCGGGATTTCTTCTTTGCTGTGTTGTCGATCCCGCATTCAGCTGCATTCTGCGGGACGCTCGCTTTCGCTGCAGACTTGATGCTGCAATGGTTTGCAACCTGCACATCCATAACCCGCTCGCATATAAAGGAGATACAAATCTACGGTTTTAAACTAAAATTGTAAACATGTGTATCCTAAAAATGCACTTCTCTGTTACAAACAGGGACTATGCATTTCTTTATTATTGCACTGAGATTCGCGGTCTGGCAGCCATGACCGCAGCTACATCCTCCTCAGTAAAGCCCGCCTCCAATACTCGTCAACCATTCGTCATCCCTCTGTTTAATCTGTCAAACACCATCTATCTATCTGTCTGTCTGTCTGTCTGTCTCTATCTATCTGTCTATATATCTGTCTGTCTGTATCCATCCATCTATCTATCTATCCGTCTGTCTGCATCTATCTATCCATCTATCTATCTATCCGTCTGTCTGCATCTATCTATCCATCTATCTATCTATCCGTCTGTCTGCATCTATCTATCCATCTATCTATCTATCCGTCTGTCTGCATCTATCTATCCATCTATCTATCTATCCGTCTGTCTGCATCTATCTATCCATCTATCTATCTATCCGTCTGTCTGCATCTATCTATCCATCTATCTATCTATCCGTCTGTCTGCATCTATCTATCCATCTATCTATCTATCCGTCTGTCTGCATCTATCTATCCATCTATCTATCTATCCGTCTGTCTGCATCTATCTATCCATCTATCTATCTATCCGTCTGTCTGCATCTATCTATCCATCTATCTATCTATCCGTCTGTCTGCATCTATCTATCCATCTATCTATCTATCCGTCTGTCTGCATCTATCTATCCATCTATCTATCTATCCGTCTGTCTGCATCTATCTATCCATCTATCTATCTATCCGTCTGTCTGCATCTATCTATCCATCTATCTATCTATCCGTCTGTCTGCATCTATCTATCCATCTATCTATCTATCCGTCTGTCTGCATCTATCTATCCATCTATCTATCTATCCGTCTGTCTGCATCTATCTATCCATCTATCTATCTATCCGTCTGTCTGCATCTATCTATCCATCTATCTATCTATCCGTCTGTCTGCATCTATCTATCCATCTATCTATCTATCCGTCTGTCTGCATCTATCTATCCATCTATCTATCTATCCGTCTGTCTGCATCTATCTATCCATCTATCTATCTATCCGTCTGTCTGCATCTATCTATCCATCTATCTATCTATCCGTCTGTCTGCATCTATCTATCCATCTATCTATCTATCCGTCTGTCTGCATCTATCTATCCATCTATCTATCTATCCGTCTGTCTGCATCTATCTATCCATCTATCTATCTATCCGTCTGTCTGCATCTATCTATCCATCTATCTATCTATCCGTCTGTCTGCATCTATCTATCCATCTATCTATCTATCCGTCTGTCTGCATCTATCTATCCATCTATCTATCTATCCGTCTGTCTGCATCTATCTATCCATCTATCTATCTATCCGTCTGTCTGCATCTATCTATCCATCTATCTATCTATCCGTCTGTCTGCATCTATCTATCCATCTATCTATCTATCCGTCTGTCTGCATCTATCTATCCATCTATCTATCTATCCGTCTGTCTGCATCTATCTATCCATCTATCTATCTATCCGTCTGTCTGCATCTATCTATCCATCTATCTATCTATCCGTCTGTCTGCATCTATCTATCCATCTATCTATCTATCCGTCTGTCTGCATCTATCTATCCATCTATCTATCTATCCGTCTGTCTGCATCTATCTATCCATCTATCTATCTATCCGTCTGTCTGCATCTATCTATCCATCTATCTATCTATCCGTCTGTCTGCATCTATCTATCCATCTATCTATCTATCCGTCTGTCTGCATCTATCTATCCATCTATCTATCTATCCGTCTGTCTGCATCTATCTATCCATCTATCTATCTATCCGTCTGTCTGCATCTATCTATCCATCTATCTATCTATCCGTCTGTCTGCATCTATCTATCCATCTATCTATCTATCCGTCTGTCTGCATCTATCTATCCATCTATCTATCTATCCGTCTGTCTGCATCTATCTATCCATCTATCTATCTATCCGTCTGTCTGCATCTATCTATCCATCTATCTATCTATCCGTCTGTCTGCATCTATCTATCCATCTATCTATCTATCCGTCTGTCTGCATCTATCTATCCATCTATCTATCTATCCGTCTGTCTGCATCTATCTATCCATCTATCTATCTATCCGTCTGTCTGCATCTATCTATCCATCTATCTATCTATCCGTCTGTCTGCATCTATCTATCCATCTATCTATCTATCCGTCTGTCTGCATCTATCTATCCATCTATCTATCTATCCGTCTGTCTGCATCTATCTATCCATCTATCTATCTATCCGTCTGTCTGCATCTATCTATCCATCTATCTATCTATCCGTCTGTCTGCATCTATCTATCCATCTATCTATCTATCCGTCTGTCTGCATCTATCTATCCATCTATCTATCTATCCGTCTGTCTGCATCTATCTATCCATCTATCTATCTATCCGTCTGTCTGCATCTATCTATCCATCTATCTATCTATCCGTCTGTCTGCATCTATCTATCCATCTATCTATCTATCCGTCTGTCTGCATCTATCTATCCATCTATCTATCTATCCGTCTGTCTGCATCTATCTATCCATCTATCTATCTATCCGTCTGTCTGCATCTATCTATCCATCTATCTATCTATCCGTCTGTCTGCATCTATCTATCCATCTATCTATCTATCCGTCTGTCTGCATCTATCTATCCATCTATCTATCTATCCGTCTGTCTGCATCTATCTATCCATCTATCTATCTATCCGTCTGTCTGCATCTATCTATCCATCTATCTATCTATCCGTCTGTCTGCATCTATCTATCCATCTATCTATCTATCCGTCTGTCTGCATCTATCTATCCATCTATCTATCTATCCGTCTGTCTGCATCTATCTATCCATCTATCTATCTATCCGTCTGTCTGCATCTATCTATCCATCTATCTATCTATCCGTCTGTCTGCATCTATCTATCCATCTATCTATCTATCCGTCTGTCTGCATCTATCTATCCATCTATCTATCTATCCGTCTGTCTGCATCTATCTATCCATCTATCTATCTATCCGTCTGTCTGCATCTATCTATCCATCTATCTATCTATCCGTCTGTCTGCATCTATCTATCCATCTATCTATCTATCCGTCTGTCTGCATCTATCTATCCATCTATCTATCTATCCGTCTGTCTGCATCTATCTATCCATCTATCTATCTATCCGTCTGTCTGCATCTATCTATCCATCTATCTATCTATCCGTCTGTCTGCATCTATCTATCCATCTATCTATCTATCCGTCTGTCTGCATCTATCTATCCATCTATCTATCTATCCGTCTGTCTGCATCTATCTATCCATCTATCTATCTATCCGTCTGTCTGCATCTATCTATCCATCTATCTATCTATCCGTCTGTCTGCATCTATCTATCCATCTATCTATCTATCCGTCTGTCTGCATCTATCTATCCATCTATCTATCTATCCGTCTGTCTGCATCTATCTATCCATCTATCTATCTATCCGTCTGTCTGCATCTATCTATCCATCTATCTATCTATCCGTCTGTCTGCATCTATCTATCCATCTATCTATCTATCCGTCTGTCTGCATCTATCTATCCATCTATCTATCTATCCGTCTGTCTGCATCTATCTATCCATCTATCTATCTATCCGTCTGTCTGCATCTATCTATCCATCTATCTATCTATCCGTCTGTCTGCATCTATCTATCCATCTATCTATCTATCCGTCTGTCTGCATCTATCTATCCATCTATCTATCTATCCGTCTGTCTGCATCTATCTATCCATCTATCTATCTATCCGTCTGTCTGCATCTATCTATCCATCTATCTATCTATCCGTCTGTCTGCATCTATCTATCCATCTATCTATCTATCCGTCTGTCTGCATCTATCTATCCATCTATCTATCTATCCGTCTGTCTGCATCTATCTATCCATCTATCTATCTATCCGTCTGTCTGCATCTATCTATCCATCTATCTATCTATCCGTCTGTCTGCATCTATCTATCCATCTATCTATCTATCCGTCTGTCTGCATCTATCTATCCATCTATCTATCTATCCGTCTGTCTGCATCTATCTATCCATCTATCTATCTATCCGTCTGTCTGCATCTATCTATCCATCTATCTATCTATCCGTCTGTCTGCATCTATCTATCCATCTATCTATCTATCCGTCTGTCTGCATCTATCTATCCATCTATCTATCTATCCGTCTGTCTGCATCTATCTATCCATCTATCTATCTATCCGTCTGTCTGCATCTATCTATCCATCTATCTATCTATCCGTCTGTCTGCATCTATCTATCCATCTATCTATCTATCCGTCTGTCTGCATCTATCTATCCATCTATCTATCTATCCGTCTGTCTGCATCTATCTATCCATCTATCTATCTATCCGTCTGTCTGCATCTATCTATCCATCTATCTATCTATCCGTCTGTCTGCATCTATCTATCCATCTATCTATCTATCCGTCTGTCTGCATCTATCTATCCATCTATCTATCTATCCGTCTGTCTGCATCTATCTATCCATCTATCTATCTATCCGTCTGTCTGCATCTATCTATCCATCTATCTATCTATCCGTCTGTCTGCATCTATCTATCCATCTATCTATCTATCCGTCTGTCTGCATCTATCTATCCATCTATCTATCTATCCGTCTGTCTGCATCTATCTATCCATCTATCTATCTATCCGTCTGTCTGCATCTATCTATCCATCTATCTATCTATCCGTCTGTCTGCATCTATCTATCCATCTATCTATCTATCCGTCTGTCTGCATCTATCTATCCATCTATCTATCTATCCGTCTGTCTGCATCTATCTATCCATCTATCTATCTATCCGTCTGTCTGCATCTATCTATCCATCTATCTGTCTGTCTGCATCTATCTGTCTCTATCTATCTATCTATCATCTGTCTGTCTATCCATCAATCTATCTATCCGTCAATCAATCAATCTATCTATCTATCTGTATCTGTCTATCTCTGTCTATCCATCAATCTATCTATCCGTCAATCAATCTATCTGTCTATCCATCAATCTATCTATCCGTCAATCAATCAATCTATCTGTCTGTCTCAATATATAGCCTAACTCTATAGACAGACAGACGGATAGATAGACAGACG